AGTGTACGTAGACGCTGACTTTGCCAGCAAGGCCACTGACCGTAGATCAGTTTCTGGAGCATTAGTTCTTGTAGCTGGCTGTCTTGTGTCTTGGTTTTATTGGACGCAGAAATGTGTCTCACTGTCAATTTCTGAAGCAGAGTATATTGCGATGGGTGACGGTGTTAAGGAGGCTCTCTTTGTGAACGGGATGCTTCAGTTCTTGAGACCTAGTGCGAAGCCTCGGAAAATTGACGTCTTTGAGGACAACGAAGGAGCGATTGCGCTTGCAGAGAATCCGCTTAGCTCGAGTAGGAGTAAGCACATTGACGTGAGGCACCACTTCCTTAGGAATTTGACGGAGGAGGGCGTGATCGACGTCACCCATGTCCCAAGCAAGGAGCAGCATGCTCACATCCTCACAAAGGCTCTACCGAGAAACCTTTTTGAAGTTCACCGTGACTTTGTCCTTGGCTCAGTAGCTGAGAAGTAGAGATCTGAGTTAGTATCTGATTTTGTATTATTAGGTCTGGTCGAGACGACAGCCCCAAGGGAGACTGTTCGTGAATTGTGGCTGTAGTATCGAATGTATGACGTGTATTGCGGTGTAGTAGGTGATACTTGGTATTGTAACGAAACGTAACACAAAGGTCAGTAGATTGCAGCGAGTAGATTGCAGCGAATAGATTGCAGCGAATAGATTTATTGCTGAGGAAAAGCTGTAGCGAGAAGCCATGGGGAGCGCAGCCCACCGTGCTCACTCCACCTTGCCGACATGTCTCTCCGGGAAAGTTCTCATTAATACACCACATATTTCTCCAGAAGTCACGAGTTTCCAACAGAGACCCGGAGGGCAGCACGGCGGATGAAAAACTGGGAAGCGACTGGTGGTCGTGATTCCCTGCCGGTAGAAATGCTCAACATCGACGACGTAGACGACCCCATCGTGATCGAAGACTTCCACGCCATTCTCGTCAAAGTGTGGAACAGGAGGTAGGTCCCCCAGGAATGGAAAGATGCCACCATCAAGATACTCTACAAGAAGGCGGACCGATCCTATTGAAACAAATACAGGGGGATATCCCTTCTGTCGCATGCGGGCACGGTGCTCCAAAAAATCGTCGGAAAACCTCTCAGCGACTACTACTGCGAGAAACACGACATCTTGCCGGAAGAGCAGTGCGCCTTCCGACCTGGCAGGTCAACCGTCGACACGATGTTCGTCGTTCAACGACTGCAGGAGCTGTCAAGGAGACGGAATATCCCTGCTTCGTCGACCTCCAGAAGGCCTATGACTCAGTCGACCGGGCACTACTATGGCAGGTGCTGGCCTGAGCGGGGATCCAAGGAAATGATCGCGGACATCCGCCACTTCCACATAAACTATATATGTAAGGCCATTTGTTACGATGCCTTTCTTGAGGCTGTCTTTTTTTCCCGAAAGAGAAGACCCAAAAATTACAACAAGAAAAAGATGGCCCCTGTGCTGCTACGTCTTTTTCTGAAGGTGGGGTTTCTTGATGATTTTCACCGGCGTTCGGCGTGCGGGAGCGAACTAATTTTTGAATTTCCGCCATCACCCACGCCACAGACCGCGCACAGCACAAAACACAACGCCCTTCTGCACCCCTTCCACTGCACACAGCCACATCCCGTAAAGCAGACCATTGATGCTATGAAACTAGATGGCGTACAGTCTCTCCCGCTGGAGTTCAACTCGTACGCCGAGACAGTAGTTTCGATGCTGCGGGACAGGAGCTCCGGCCTGACGGACGCCAAGTTGCTNCCCTTCCACTGCACACAGCCACATCCCGTAAAGCAGACCATTGATGCTATGAAACTAGATGGCGTACAGTCTCTCCCGCTGGAGTTCAACTCGTACGCCGAGACAGTAGTTTCGATGCTGCGGGACAGGAGCTCCGGCCTGACGGACGCCAAGTTGCTGAAGCACCTCCAAAACGGGCGCATCGTGTACGCGTGCTTGGCGGTCAAGCGCAACGCCGGGATTGTCTCCACCCAGGCCAAGCACGCGGCAGCGGCGCAGGGGTACAAGGACATCGCTGTCCCTAGCTTCTTCAAGTGGCTCCAGGAAAACTTGGACAAGGAGGATTCCTTCTTGCAGCCGTGGCTAACGTTCGAGGTCATGGGGAAGACGTCCATGAAGGGAGGTAAGACACAACCAACACGGGAGAGATGCAGGTTTCGAGTGCGAAGTCAACCGTCTTGAGGGAGAGGGACTAGGTGCGAGTGGGTACCTGACCCTCTGCGCCTTCATGACGTGCTGTTGAAATGACATGCTCTACGTAGGGTGTAGGGTGTATGGTCCGGCCAAAGGTTGTTATTAGCTTGCAGTCAAGCCACGACGGGCTGCTGCAGCAGCAAGAGGAACCAACATGCTGCTGTAGGATACCTTGTCTCCGCCCATCATTTGAGCGGCAACCACAGGATGCAACCGGACACCAGTGTACCAGTCTGTGCGTAGCCTTTCGAGCCTCGTTTGTATGACAACCGAAGCCCGCCCATTTCCTGGAGCATTACCGTAAATGACACAAGATACCATACCCCCTTGACCGATTTTCAAAGCTCGATTACTCCACGACAAAGAGAATGCACGAACGGAACGGTGCATTTTCGGAAAGCTCTCGATGAGAAGGCGTCAACGCCGCCATTGTTGTCACTGTGACTCCTTTTGCTGTTGAGGAATGGGTCTTTGAAAATCGGTCCAGGGGGTGTGTTATCTTGTGTCATTTGTGGTACTCTTGGAGAGGCATGGAGAGCAATGTTTGTAGTCTACAGCACGTCATCCAGCAGNATACCCCCTTGACCGATTTTCAAAGCTCGATTACTCCACGACAAAGAGAATGCACGAACGGAACGGTGCATTTTCGGAAAGCTCTCGATGAGAAGGCGTCAACGCCGCCATTGTTGTCACTGTGACTCCTTTTGCTGTTGAGGAATGGGTCTTTGAAAATCGGTCCAGGGGGTGTGTTATCTTGTGTCATTTGTGGTACTCTTGGAGAGGCATGGAGAGCAATGTTTGTAGTCTACAGCACGTCATCCAGCAGTAGGTATGTTTCGGATAGGTCATAGGACATGTTTCATTTGCTGCTACCGCTGACCAGTAAGTGCTACTGCTACTACTGCTGTTCGACTGCTGTTCGACTTGCCTACCCCATGTTACTGCGACGCAGGCGCGGTCCTCTTCACCAACGGCGAAAAAATGTGGAAGCGGTTCGATAAAATCCTGCGCGAAATATAGAAATACTACAACCCCGTGTGGGACAGGTGTGTCTGTCTGTGATCTTGTTTGTGTACGTGCTTGGAGCGGCATCAGTACAGCTGCCGCGCTGCAACTTTTTTTGTTGCGTTCCGTGTAGGGTATTTCCCTGTTCTCTTGTGGCGTGCACTGCTGTGAACGAGCGGTCGACTGCAACCACGCCCTCCCGGGAAAAACATGGTTGGCGTCGGCGGCGTAACTACTACTGTGTGTGCAGTGGTGAGTAGTGCACGTACCTTCCGCCACAGAAGCACCGACGAACAGCTCCCGTAGGAATACTAAATGAAGAAGCGAGGCCGAACATGAAGGAACACGGAGGATATTGAACAGACGTATTTGTTCTCAAGAATAGTAGTCGGTTTTACGAGAGTAATAATCAGTGATGTTGCGTATGTTTCTGAAAAAAACGCCCACATGCGCCCGTGTCTGTTGTCTGTCGAGGAAACCTGTTAAAACGTAGTCAGGCACGGTTTACCATAGGTGCGACTGCGGCAACTAGCCTTCCGTAGACATAATACATCTACTGCTGTGGACTACAACATCCGTCTGTGGACTTCGAGCGGAAATCTGGATTCGGAGATTTGGGAGATCATCAACGGTGAGCGGAAACGAAAGTGAGCGCACTACTTGGTCATCTACACCAAGGAGCAGCGAATTCATTATACACACACGTTACCACTGCGGCAACAGCAGTAGTGGGTGCCTCTGTGTTGAACAAACAGCAAAGTGTTGCGCGGGAAGCCTCGATTTAGACATTGAGCAAATACTTCTGCGGCGGAGACAGGAGGGAAGACTGTATCAACAGCGAAAGTCGACCGGGAACCGTAGTCCTATTCACCGATTCCCTAAGTGAGGAAAGGGTATCAGGAGCGGGGTCGCAAATTGGCCTACAACCGGAGTTCTACTCACCGATTCTCTATCTAGGTGAGAAAAGGGTTTCAGAAGCGGGGTCACGAATCGGCAACCGGAGTCCTCTATATCAATAGAAGGAGCGGGGCTGGAAAAATCTCAGCGACAGATAGCTGAGTAATACACCAACAAAAATATACAAGACGAGATCATCAGGATAAAACCAGAAATGGAAGCAAAATCGGAAACTGGAGGCGGAGGCAGCATCTGGAGTGATGGATCCACAAACCTGGCCAACGTCATCAGAGGACTCCCCAAGTTCGATGGAACAAAACCAGAGGACTTCAACGACTGGATGAAGAAATTGGGTGTAGTCGTCGGCGTTACTCGGAGGGACATCATGCCACTTCTCAAGGGAATGCGCAGGCCTGATCCCTCGGACACCACCTTCGCCGCATACGAGAGAGCAAACGAAGACCTCTACGCAATCCTATTCTGCCTCGTCGAACTGCCGGCTGCACTAACCGTACACAAGCACGAAGACGACACCGGCCTTAGCGGCGACGGGCAGGCAGCATTCGCGGAACTGAAGGCCAACTCCAATCGAGTGACAGATGAAGTGATCAGGGCTAAACTGGCCGACCTGGAAAGGACGATCATGGAGCCAGGAGATAACCAGGACGATTTTTTCAACAAGAAACACCGCCTCCGCTCTCAACTAGAGAAAATGGGGGAAACCATCTCCGATCGCCGCTTCAAGGACATCTGTGTGCAAGGTTTCTCCGAGGACTACAAGGACATCAAGATGATGGTTTTCCGCGACCCATCATTCGACGTACAACAGATGCAAGCCACCATGCGCAACATCTTCCTTGACGAGCAAATGCGCAAGAGAACCAAGGGCCAAATCGCTGGCCGCGGATTCGCCATGGCTACCAAGACATCTGGCCCCATCTGCTTCGAGTGCAACGAACCGGGACATGTCAGGAGGAACTGTCCCAATCGCCAGCGGGAGGGCCATAAGGCAAAGAAGACGAAGCCTGCGGGAGGAACCAAGTGGTGCTCCGTCCATAACACCACTACACACTCCGACGAAGAGTGTTACAACCAAGGAGCCAAGCGACCAGAGCGCACGGCCAAGGCCTTTTCTGCATGCACACACTGCGTGCACTGCTCAACCCAGTCAAGAGATACACACGCCAAGCCTACCACAACGGAAACTCCCAAAGAAACAGAGACGACCGAGAAGGCAGAGATCGACTTCTCTTACGACGAAGATGCATTCAAGGGTGGATTCATGTACCATGCTACATGCAGCAAGGGAAGCGGACGCACTTTCACGACAACTGCAACTGGGACTTCCGCGCTGGTGGATTCTGGAGCTTCTGAGACAATTTTCGACAACCGCCTCATCCCGAATGGACGTCTCGAAGAAGAACGCCCGACGCCCAAGATCATCGACGTTGCAGGAGAAAGCCAACTACGAGGCACTACCACTGGGATCCTACACTGCACCATCAAAGACGACAAAGAACAGCAACTACCCGTCAAGCTACAAGGTCTCATCGTGCCAGGACTAGGCCGGAACATCTTCGCACCAACGGCCCTTCTCAAGAAGGGCCTCCGATGTGTCCTGGAAGACAAGACCCCACACCTCACCATTGGCGGAGAAGTCGTCGTTCCTCTGAAACAAGAGACTCAAGACCAAGGCATGTGCACCCTCGCCATCACATTCAAGGGCGATCCAGCGTCGACAAGCAAGACACCCCCGACCAACCAAGAACCAGGGCGCAAGCCGAAGTTCGGAAAACCAGAAGCGGTACAGATCGATCACACTCCGCACGCGACATGCTCAGTGGCGATGAGCGTGAGCGCCGACCTCTGGCACCGGCGCCTCGGCCACATCAATCCACGTGCTATGGAGATTTTGCGGCGCAACCCCGCCACAGGTGTGAAATATGACGGACCTGTATCCCCGTGCGACAACTGCCAAATCACGAAGCACAAGAAGGCTCCCGTCCCGAAGAAGACCAGCCGTGTCCTGACCAAACCAGGCCAACTCGTCCAGTTCGACAACATGGGACCAATCGACCCGCCTGCGAAGTACAACGGACGCACCTACTCCTATGTCGCCAAAGCGACCGACGTCTTCACCAGAATGCGGGAAGTGTACCTACTGCGCGACAGGACCGAAACCACGCAAGCTCTGCACGCCTACAACATGCAAGTAGCATCTGAAGGCTACCGCATCGAGGTTCTACGCTGTGACAAAGGGGGAGAGAACACTGGGGACGAAATGCGCAACTACTGTAGGGAGTCTGCGATCAAGCTGGAATTCGCCGCGACCAACACGCCCCAAGAAATCGGAGTGTCAGAAAGGGATGGCCAGACACTTGCGGCTGTGACTCGAGCTCTACTGCGCGATGGAGACTTCCCAAAACGCATGTGGGGGGAGCTCATGATGACTGCAGCATACCTGACCAACAGGACCCCACACGCGGCGCTAGGGGGAGCCACGCCGTATTCCAAGATGTACAACACAACCCCGGACCTTTCTCGACTTCGTGCCATCGGCGCCCGCGCGTTCGTTCATCACGAGCGATACAAGAAGAAGCTAGACGATCGGGCCTTTGAAGGCAAGCTCTGCGGTTACGGACCTGACAGCAAGACGTACCGGATCTACGTGGAGGGCAAAGACAAGGTCTACGAGAGCCGGAACGTGACTTTCATCGAGACTCCACCCAACACCATCCCCCCTCACCGGTGGGACGACCGTCTCGGATATGACCAGGACGTGATGAACTTCACGTCATTGCTCGGACGCCGTACCTCTACGGGTGACGAAGACAACAAAGTGGACTACGGAACACAATCAGAGCTCCTGCTGTACGAGATGCGCAACATACAGCAAGGCAACATC